AGACAGGGTCTTGCTATGTAACCCAGGGTAGCTTCAAACTCACAATCCTCTTGCCTCAGCCTCTCGAGTGTTGGGCCATAGTGATTTATTAAATTTTGCTCTTGTTCCTTCTCACCTTCTCTGTGTCTGTCACATCTGCACCCGTCGGGAGCCCAGCCCTGCCCCAAGCTCTGGGATAGGCATTATAAAAGCATCAGGCAGTGGACATGCAATGGGTCGCCTCAGCACACTCATCTCTCGTCTGGTCCTCAGGACAGATTTTTGTAATCACAGGTCCAGCCTGTCCCCATCCCCTGCCTCTGAGCTGCCACCTGGCCAGGAAAGCCCCCAGCTGTCTTTCCAGCTTCCCTAACACTGCCCATCTGGCCCTGGATTACTGAGGTGCTAGCCTCCACCCTCCCTGCTTCAGGACCACATTGCCTAGAATATAGAATACATTAGGTGGAAGGTAACAGAAAGCTACACAGTGGTTTCATCACATAAACACGTGTGCTACTGACAGGGCAAGGAGACCTCATAGCTTCTCTGGGGTCCAGCTCCTTCTGCCCTCTCTGAACTCAGCGCATGGTTCTGACCTCAGAGGGCACAGGAGAGATGAGGGCTGCAGAAAGTCAGAGAGTGGCTCCCCTACCTGGAAAACTATGGCTTTTCTGAGGACTCATCCAGGAGCCCCCACATAGCTTCAATCCTGAAGGGACTGAAGAGGCATTTTGGACTGATCTCTGGTCCCCTAAATAAGAAGAAAGGACATGAGACTGGGAGTCCTGAAAGGCTGGCTTCTTCCCCTTTGTGTTTGCAGCTATTGAACTCCTACCTCCCCAGAAAGCCTCATTCAGATATTACCTCCTCTGTGAAGTCTCTCACAATTGCTTCTCTAGAGTCCTTCCCCCTCAGATCTGTGAGTCTTTTCTTTGACCCTGCCTGCTTTGGCTATTGCACCTGTGTTTATACAACCTGCCAGAAGCCCTCAGCACCAGGATGATGGGTCCAGCTGAACAAGCAAATGAGCATATGCATGAACGAATGGTGTTGTCCCTTTCTCCCAAGCCATGTCTAGTCTTCGCAATTGTGTCTGAGTCCTCCCTACTTCCCCTCTTCATCTCCATGCTCGCTGCTGTGGGGAGCAGAACTCAGGCACCAAATGCTTTCCATTCACCACTGTGCTGTGTGACATCAGCCCTATTGGGAGGATCTCTGACCCCCTTAATCACCTGCCCACCAGAGGCTGAGCCCAAGTTTCTTTCCATGTTGCAAACCTCATCCACGCCTACCTAGCGCAGAGGCGGATTCTATTGCAATTGACAGTTGATTTAAAACCAGACTTCATGGTAAATAATTATCTTAGTGGAATTGTTGCAGTCCATGGATGGACATGAGTCATGAAAACAATGCATGAGACAGAAGTATCCCTGAACTGGTTTTCTCTCTCTTTTTTTTTTTTTTTTTTTCTGGGGGTTCAGCCTAGGGAGCATGGAGCTGCGTGCCCTGTTCTTTTGGTTTATTTTGAATCTTGCTAAATTGTACAGGTTGGCCTTGAACTTGTGATCCTCCTGCTTCAGCCTCCCAAGAAGCTGGTGTTATAGGTGTATATCACCATGTCTAGCTTGAGTTTCTTTTAATTTTCTCTTTCTTTTGTTGTTGCTTATTTTTGCTTTTTGTAGTACTGGGGATTGAACCCAGGGCCTTTGCACTGAGCTACATCTCCAGTTTATTTTATTTTTATTTTTAAATTTTATTTTATTTTTTAAGACAGGCTCTTGCTAAGTTACTAAGTTGCCCAGGCTGGGGTCAAACTTGCAGCCCTCCTGCCTCACCCTTCCAAGGTACAGGGATTATAGGCGTGTGCCACCACAACCCACTGAATTTTCCATTTTTATTGAATTAAACATATAAAAACATTATTTGCAGAGTGAGCATACCTATGTAATTACTACTCAATCAAGGCCTAGAATGTGCCTGGTTTTCAGAGTTCCTTCCTGCCTCTCTGGTCAAAAACTCCTAAGGAGAAACACCATTCTTACTTGTAACCATGCCAAACAGCTTGCCTAGATTTGTACCCTTTCTGCTAATGGAAGCAGGTGGAGGCTGCATTTTTTTTTTTTTTTTTTGAGACAGGATCTCACTTTGTAGCCCAGGCTGGCCTTGAACTCATGGTGATCCTCCTGCCAAATGTTGGGATGACAGGTGTGCACCACTGCACGTGGTATCTTTATTTTTGTGACTGGCTTCTTTCACTCAGCAGTATGTCTGTGGACTTCGTCCATGTGTGTTATCAGTAGTTCTTTTTGTTGCCATGTAGTAGTTGTACACAATGCACTTAACTAACCATTCTACAGCTGATCTGATGGGGTTTTGGGAGAATTTCCAGCTTGGAAAAGTTGAGAATAAAGCAACTCTGGACATCTTTGTGTATTTTCTGGGGGCCATTACCCCCCCTTTCACCCAGGTACACACCAGAAGTGGAACTGCTGGGTTACAGTCACGTGTGCAGACTGAGTTTGTACTGCTGGGCTGGTGCTGTAGGTGGGGTCCAAGATGGCTCTGGTTGGGTTACAAGGGTGCCCAGCACACAGACTGCAGTGTGGGTGGGACCCAGAAAAGGCCAGTAGCCATGAAGGGACCTAGCAAAACCAGCAAGGGAGATCTGCACTCTGCTGCACCCCACTTCTTACCAGGTTGAGGAAGCCCTCCACGAGGACACCTCCATCTGGGTCCCCACTGTCCTTGAGGGCAGCAGGCCAGGCCAGCTCAGGAACTGCTGAGACAAGTTCAGTCCTCCAGTGGTCTAGGCCTTGGCGTAGTCTACTGCCTGTGGAATGGGCAGGGGCCAGGATGCTGTGCTCCAGATGCCAGGTGGCCCCCAATGAGGGCCCTCAGCCAGCTCTGCTGTAATCAGCTTGCAGACACCAGCCCTGGCTGACAGTGATAGGACTGGGGACCAGGAAGCGTTCCCAGGAACTGAGCCAGTATCACTCCCCAGCCTTGTGATGGAGACCCCATGTGTATCTAGGCCCATCCCTCCACCAACAAATACACCTGTGGTCAAAATGTCCTCCTGCCTTGACCAGGCCCCTTTCCAGGTCCTTGGCCCAAGGCTTGGGGCCTCTATCTCCAGCCCTGCTCTGTCCCTCATCTCACCTGCACGTGTACAGGTCGCTCCAGTCCTGCCTGGGTCCTGGCCCTGGGAGTGAAGGTGGGAGCCAAAGTCTAGGGGGAGCCCATGGGAGATGACTGTAGACCTCAGAATGGTGCACAGGGACAGCTGAGTGCAGTAGGCAGCCTGCGCAGGAAGGCTCCCCCAGAGTTTTTGTCTGAGCACATTTGAAGGGCGGAAAGGGGGAAAAGGGATTCTAGGCTGAGGGATCAGACAGTAGGAGTGGCTTGGTGGTCCAGGAGACTGGTTCGTACCTGAGCTGCTCCATTGGCTCACATGCCCAGAGGTAAAGGAGTTCACTGTCAGAGCAGGAAGTGACACCCAGGCAGGCTCTTGGGGCCCCAAACAGGTCTGGACCATGCCTCTAGGCCGGGGACTTCACTCAGTGCCTGGTTCGGGTTTAGTGTATAAATCTCTTCACCATGTCTTTTCCTATCGAAAAAGTATGGGAGATTGAACCCAGGGAGCACCTAACTCCATTCCCAGACGTTTTATAAGTTTTATTTTGAGAAAGGCCTTCTTAATTGCCCAAGCCGGCTTCAAACTTGTGACTCTCCTGCCTCAGCCTGCTGAGTAGCTGGGATTACAGGAGTGGGCCTAGTGGCAGGCCTTCTTCACTGTACCCCCTGCTAGTCCAAGAAATTAGGCAGGGACCCTGCTGAAGGTAGGATGTGGGAGGAAAAAATGGTCAGCCCTACTAAGCAGTCAGCCCTACTAAGCGTTCACCCTAGGTCTCTATGTAGTGTCACTGTGACCCAACAAAGTTGACTGTCCTGCCAGGGACAAAGTGTTGACAGAGTTGGACCAGCGTTCAAATCCTTTTATGCCAAACCCAGCTCCAACCTTGGGCCGCTGAAGGAATCTACAATACAAAATCTGCACAAAACTAGAGGGCTATGCATAATGGGGGCGGGGCGGGGGGACGACGTGCAGCAGAAATCCCATTTTAGGTGGTGCGCCAGTAAATTTCCCCGCACGGTGCGAGTCCACAAAGTCAAGCGGGCACCTTACGGCGCCAGCGTAGTTTCTCGGGCTCCGGCCTGGGTCTGCGAGCCTCAACAGGGTGGCTCGTGACGCGGGGTCGGGGTCCGAACCCTGAAGGCTAGCGACACTTTACTGGGCCTGTGCGCCCCCTCGCGGCCGCTGGGGTCAGTGGCCGGGTGCGGGTGGATGGGGCTTTGAGCACTGGCCCCGAGTGCCCGCAGCGGGTGTGGCCGGCTTAGCTCTCGCCTTGAGCGAGAATCAGGAGGTCCGGAAGGTCAGCGAAACTCTGTCATCCCGGGAGAGGAAGCGTCCGCGCAGGATCTAAGAGCACTGCACTAGGCCACGCCCACGCCGTCCGCCCCACTCCTGCGCAGGCGTCACCAGCCGTGCGGCGCCATTGCTTTCCCTCGCCAGGCCCGAGCGTCCAGTCGGAAGTCCATCGGACGGAGGGAACGCGGAGCACGACACCTCGACGACGGCGGCCTGGCGCTGCAGATGCAGTCTGGTGAGGGCTGCGTGCCCGCTTAGGCCTGGCTGACGAGTAAGGAACTACAACTCCCAAGGTGCTTTGCGGGAGGCAGTGACGTAATGGGCCTTGGCCACTAAGTGCTCTAGTAAGAAGGGGACCGGTGGCGAGGGCTGATGACGCGCTCAGCTTCCGGGTTCGACCCTAGGGGTTAATTCTCGGCGCCTTCGTAATCCTTCCTGTTTGTCCACTTTAAACTGGAAGCGGTTTTTTTGCGTGTGTGTATGTGTGTGTGTGTGTGCGTGCTGGGGATCGAATTTAGGACCTGGCGCTTGCTAGGCAAGCGCGGTGCCACTGAGCTAAATCCCGGGCCCTGGAAGCATTTGTGTGAGTGGTACTAGAATTGAATTAAGGACGTTAGTACTAAGTTACATCCCCGGCCCCTTACATTTTTTTTCAAATACTGAGACAGGGTCTAGTCGCCAAGTTGCCCAGGGTGGGCTCCAACTTGTGATCCTCCACCTGCCTAGGCCTCCCAGAGTGCTGGGATTACAGGTATGTGCCACCCTGCCTGGCTGACAGTTTGGCCTTACTTGTGGCTGTCTGGTGGCTGACTAGTACCCGCTGCTTTTCAACCCCTGGGGTGCCACTGAGCCACCCAGATACCATTATTATTAGTTTTTTTGGAAATAATTTTATCAGCTCCCATATACCCTTTTGATAAAGTTCTCCAGTTGTTGACATCTTTTGTCCCATTTGCTTTATCATTTCCCTTCATTACCTTTTTCCCCTGGACCATTTGACGTAGTCACAGATATGGTATCCCTTTACCGCTATAGAGATATGTCCCTGTGTATTTTCTGAAAACAAAGTCACTCTCTTACAAAATCATGTAACAGTGATAGTGTTTTCTAACCCACATTCGTCCATATTTAAATGTTTCCAGTTGTCCTAAGAAAGCCTTTTATGGAGATGACCTATTCTTGGTCCAGGATCTGTTCTGGGAGTACCCATTGCATTCAGCTGTCTGGTCTCCAGTTTTTCCTTCAGTCTAATGCAGCTCCAGGTTTTCCTGGATACTTTTGGAGATTCCTGGCCAATTGTTTGTAGAACTAAGGTTGAGTTTGTCTGAGGTTTCTTCACCAGTCAGATGGGCCCTGCCATGTGCTGACCAGGCACTGTTGTATTCAGAGGCTGGGATGTGTCTTGGGTTGGTCCCAGAATCAGCATCTAGCCACACCAGCCACCTTCTAGGACAAACTCACACACTCCAAGCCCCTGCTAGGCCACACCCTTTGGGTGGTGTTTCCAAAGCTGACTTTTCACTCTTCACCTAGGTCTCTGGTTCCTGGAGCACCACATTCAGTCATGGTCCACGCCTTTCTCATACATACTTTGAGGACCCCGAATGCAGAGGCCACAGGCTTTTGCCGAGTGCTCTACTCTTGCGTCTTTGGTGCTGAGAAGTCACCAGATGATCCAAGGCCACACGGTGCAGAGAGGGACAGGCTCCTCCGAAAGGAACAGATTTTGGCAGTGGCCAGGTAACCCTACAGTTCAGATCCAGGCTTCACTGAACATGTGGTCAGTTGACCACTTTGTGATCAGTATTCTGGGGCAGTATTCTGGGGGTTACAGAGAAACAGGATTGAGAAGCAGAGAGAAATTTTTATTTTATTTTACTTTATTTATTCTTTGGAGACAGGGTCTCACTGTGAAGTTCAGGCTGGCCTTGAAAACTCATGTATCCCAGTCTGGTGATCCTCTTGCTTCAGTCTCCCAAGTGCTGAGATATAGGCATGTACCACCATGCCCCAGTACAGTTTTAGAGTGATGTTTCTTACAGAGTCTTCTGCAGTTGTTCATGAATGTTAATAGGAAAAAAGTTAAAGAAATAATAATGCTATTATCAGCATTATTATAGTTAGTATTTACTGAGTCTTTATGTGTTAAGCACTTATGTTCTGAGCATTTCGTGTATATTATTAACCATTTTAATTCTCATAACAGTCTTTTGAGAGAGTTATTATCCCCCACCTTACAGATGAGTAAACTGAGGTATAGAGTGGCTAAGGAACTTAACCTCTCCAGAGTTACTCAGATAAAAGTAGCAGAACTGGGGAGTCTTAGCAGGCTGACTGCAGTGCAGATTAAACATGCTTTGCAGTGCAGGACTTCTCAGGATCGTTAGTGTGCCATGGACCATGCATCTCTAAGGAAGAGAGAGCATGTGGTGCACAGAGACTCTTCATAGCAAGGGTCTCCTGAAAGCTTGGCCTTCAGAGCACAGTTTGGAAAGCACTGTGCCAGACTGTGGTGGCCACCCTTGGACACCCCAGCCCAGACCCAGACAGAGCAGCAGGTACCACTCTGTTCTGGGTACTACTCTGGGTGACCCTGTGCCAGCTCTTTCCATACCTGTCTTCTTTTTTTTTTTGGTACTGGGGATCGAACTCAGGTCCTTCCGCTTTCGAGGCAGGCGGTGGAACCACTGAGCTAAATCCCTGGCCCACCTGTCTTCTTGACCTTGTTTCCCTCCCTGGAGTACAGAAGACCAAATGAAAGCCTTTACAGCAAGCTTGTGCATGGCTGGGTCTGGAAGGCGATCCAGAAAGGATCAGAGGGCTGGGAGTGGTGGTGCACGCCTGTGATCCCAGCACTCTGGAGACTGAGGCAGGAGAATCACCCATGAGTTCAAGGCCAGCCTGAACTATATAGTGAGACTCTGTCTCAAAAAATCAAAAAACAAGGGCTGGGGATTTAGCTCAGTGGCTCTGCACCTGCCTCACAAGCACAAGGTCCTGAGTTCAATCCCCAGTACCAAGAAAAAAAAAAGAAAGGATCAGAGGGATCTTCCATCAAAAGTTCTGATGAGCCAAGCATTATAGCGCACTCCTATAATCCTCAGGAGGCTGAAGCAGGAGGATTGCTGGAGTTCGAGGCCAGCCTGGACGACATAGTGAGTTCAAGCCCAAACTGAACTACATGGCAAGATCCTGTCTTTAAAAAAAGTACAAAAGCTCTGCAGGTCACAGGGAAGGGGGAAGGTTCTTTTTACTCAGAGAGGGGTGAGGGGGAGGAGGCCAGCTGGCCAGGCTGGGTGATGGGACTGAGTTTCCTTTCTGTTGATCAGGCCTCTGTGAGGCGGCTGGGAACAGGATCTTCCCCTGAGACACTTTTCTAGTCCAAGGTGCTGGGTTCCAGACCTGCCTTCTGGCCACATGGAGTAAAGTGGGTGAGGGCTCTTAGGCTGAGGACTCCATTCCCAAATGGGGTCACCTTTCCTGGGTGTGTGGCCCTGGGACAGTCACTTGGTCTCTCTGAGCCCTAGTTTCCTCACCTGAGATATAGTGATGAGGGCAGCTCCCAGCTCCAGGGGTGTCATGAAGAGGACAGAAGTTTGTGGGGGGGCTCCTTGGCAGCCCCACCTGGCTGGTCACCCACTAGCCTGACCTGTCCCCTTACCCCAGGCAGGTGGAGTCGATGTGTCAACTGCAGCAGCTGGCATCAGGCCGCCCATCCTTGGACCTGCAGACCCAGATCTGTGACGAGCCTGTGCCCCTGCATGAGTCCCCACATGGGGTCTTCGGGCTGGCGGCAGGAGACCCCTTCCGGGAGCCTCACACCGTGGTGTGGTTGGGAGTGCTGTCCCTAGGCTTTGCCCTGGTGCTCGACGCCCATGACAACCTGCTGCTGGCAGAGAGCACACTCCGCCTGCTGGCCCGCCTCCTCCTGGACCACCTCCGTCTGCTGACCCCAGGCTCCAGCCTCCTGCTGCGGGCCGACCATGTTGAGGGCGTCCTCTCCCGCTTCCTGCCCCATGGCCAGCTGCTCTTCCTCAATGACCAGTTCGTCCAGGCTCTGGAGAAGGAATTCAGTGCTTCCTGGCCCCGCTGACCCTTGCTGGCATGGGCTTCTCACAAGGGCAAGGAGGGAAGCAGAGATTGCATGCACAGCTAGAGGAGGCTTGATGTCTGCTCTGTCTAGTCTTCTGCCCACCTGGATGTGCCCCACACCCAGGACCCTGGATGAGACAAACTGGTAGTGAGTGGGATGGACAGAGGTGTGGGGGGCTATACCTGTTCTTGGGTCTGTGGGATCACAACATCCTGAGCCTAGAGCTGTCAGGTGACTGACTTCTGCATTGTGCTGGCCATGCCAGTCCTTAACCCCAACCCCAACCAGGAAGGGCTGCCTGGAACTTGTCCCCTTTCCTCCCAAAACCCCAGTTATTGCTGCACAAAAGGGGTCCCTGAGACTCCCCCTTACAGTGGGGGAGCTGGTCTGCACTATGGCAGGCCCTGGTCCCTGCCTTGTGTCTCCTTAGGTAACATCATGGGGGACTTTGTCCATTGAGCTGACATAATCACTGGCTTTCCTCATCTGCCTCAGCCAAATGCCAGAGGCCTGGCCTGGGTGATGTTGTCTTTCTTATTTTCTATTAAAAGCACTGGCTGTGTGACCTCACACTCTTCCTGCGAGTTTTATGATTACAGTCTGCTCCTGTGGGTAAGCGTCTCTTTCTGTCCTGGTGCCTACACTTTGTACTCCAGGATCCCCCTAAGAGCTTTCTTGGGAGGCCTCTATGTTTTGTTCTCCTCACCTCTTTTTCCTTATGTGCCTCCTTTGGATGGTGGTACCTGCTTCCTCTACCAAAATGTGCATCACAGGTGGTGGGTTAGTGTGCATCCCTGAGAAGCAGAGCCTGAGGCAAGGATTAGGTGCAGGTGGCTTATGTGAGCCACTCCCAGGAAGCAAGAAGGGGAGGCAGCCTTCAGGTGTGTTGCCAGGCCCACTGACGGGGTGGGAGTGCAGTGCTTAGCCTGGGGCCAGTGTACAGTTGCCTCTGAAGCACCTCACCTGAGGGGTGAAGTGGTGAGGGGCTGTGGTATTTTCTCTGTCCCTTCAGCCCCTAATTGCCTTTCCAGCCATTCCTTAGCTCTTTCTAGCCTCAGAAAACACCCTCAGACGTGGAGCTGGGCCTGCTGCACTGCAGTGAGACCCAAGAGATTATGGATGGGGCACCAAATACCAGCTGTTAAGTCGTTAATCAGCAGTTTCTAGTGATGGTTTCAAATCACTGAATTGAGCCAGCAT